CGAATAGTTGTTTGCGTGAGCCGCACCATCGTGATCGAAGAAGGGCTGACGACTCCAAGGACGAAGGTGAAGATCCCTATAAACCAATTACGCTCCCACATCGCGAATAGCCTTGTAGCGATGAACGCTGCGCACACCGGTTATTCGAGTCCTGCGGCACTGTAACTAGGGGCATGCGGGCTTACCTGAGATGACGGCGAAGTTGAGCATATTGAGGATCGTCAGGAAGCCAAGTAGTTCCCGGCAGCTATACTGTAGTCACAATGGTTGTCGCAGCATGGATTGCGTGCAGTGGTTACTCACGACTGTGCTGTGAGATTTGGACCTTCTCCTTGTGTGAAGTGCATATTGTGAACCATCGAAAGAAGATATTGCGCGAGAAATCCGTAACGTATCCATAAGTAAGCCACGCTTGCGAGGTTTGTTGGGGGACTCCAGATGGTGCGGATCTCAGTCGGCAGCATAAGGAGATAATCATAGAAAAAAAGAGCTTCACGAGCCGTCGCAGTCAGTAGTCGTACGGATGTCTACTTCAGGGACAGATGAAGACGGTACGTACTTGACATTGACACCCCAACAGCTGTGTTCGTCAACATAGCCTGCATGGAAGCAGGATCTTCAGCTATGTCACTGGAGAATGCAGGATCCCATCAGTAATGCAGGACATGTATGACGACGGTGAGAGACTCACATCCACGTCGGGATCTCATCGTTCATGGCGTGAGTTTGCAGACCCCGCATCTAGGAGTCGTGTCCTTTTTTATATGCAATACACAGTGAGTTTACGGTGTATGGCGGTGAAGAACTTATCATGCCACCAGTGGAGTCGATGAGCAGAAAGGCATGACTAGCGGGCGGTTTGAGGATTGATATAGTCACTTCTTGCGGTACGCAGCTACGGTAGCTGAGCCTTTTCCACTGGCACCACTGCCAGGCAACGGCCACATGTTGCCCTTCCTTTTCTACGCATGCCGAGTGTGAACGTGGAGTACAGAGCTTCAGATCCAGAGTAATTCTGGCTTGCACCGTGTGGTGCCATTCAAGGAGCACTAGCCTTGAAAGCTACGTTCCGAGCAACTTCCAACAACAAGGATAACGGCATGTGGGGAGAGGCAGAAGTTGAAGTCGTGGCCTCCAGTGCTTACAGTGGCGGAAATTGTAGGTAAATATTAATAGAAGGGAAAAAGGGCCTGGCCGGGAATTGAACCCGGGACCTCCTCCAAACGGCTTACCCTAAGAAGGAATCATACTACTAGACCACCAGGCCGTTGGAACCTAACACTGACATTGTTATAGATCCAGATACTTACTGACCGTGTGGTCTTCAACAAGTTCGTCACCACCTTCATCATGCATGGCATATGTCTTGCAGGACTCTGAACGTTATTCTTCACTTTGACACTGACTGCAAGCTCGTCGAAACTTACCTAGCCTCTGTTATGCCACGGTCAAGCTGCAGGAAAGTACTTATCCGGCGGCAAACGGGCGCGGGAATGGACATGAGACATCTTGTCCGCAACCACTGCCGTGCACGGACTATGGTCTAGCACAATGCGCATCCAACAACTCGTCCCCCCACTCAGCGCCGACTTGGCCCAAGCCCTCCAAGAAATTGGCATCAAGACAGACACGGACCTCCTGCTTGCCCACGATCCTCTGACCATCTTCGCGAAGCTCCCAACAGGACATGGCGTCACCCTGCGCCAGTTCCGCGACGCACTTGCGCAGGTCGCAGAGCTGGCATCCGCCCCTGTGGCGTACGGGGACAAGCTCTTCGAACAGGAGATGAAGCGGCAAGAAGACATCTATGTAGAGGACATGCTCCTGGGCGTCCCCGAGGTGGATGCGCTCCTTGGGGGCTTCAACCCTCCTCGAGTGATCGAGCTCTCAGGAGATGCGGGCTCGGGAAAGACGGTAGGCCATGCTTTGTAATGAAGAGGGGCCATGATCTGACGATTGCATCGTAGGCACTCGCGTTGCAAGTGGCACTCCGCCACCTCACCCGAACTGCGAACTCCAGCGTTCTCTGGATCGACACCGGGGGAGAATTCTCCCCCGAGCGTGTCGCCCTCCTTGTGGAGAAGCTCGAAGGACCCGTGAGTGACGATGTGCACTGCTCCCCGTTGTCTTGGTTGGTTGATGTGTCCTCCTGGCAGTACTCCACCACCGCGCTGGAGCGGCTGCAGGTCTCACTCGCGTTCGACATCGAAGCCGCACACGAGGTGCTCGAGGCCGTCCGGCAAGCTCTCTCCGCAGCGGCTGACTCGGACGCGGCAGGAGAAGTGTACGACAGCGCGAGTGCGTCGCCGGTCACTCGGTGTATAGTCGTGGACAGCATCACGTCGCTGCTGGGACCGATGCTGAGCGCGACGTCGTCTCAAGGCGAGCTTTCTCTAGAACTCGATGTTTCGGAGAGCTCACCCTGCGAATCGAACAGGACATGCGATTATGACAACTTTCATGCGCCAACTACGCGCCTTCGCGGACTCGTTCTCTCTGACCATTCTTGTGAGCCGCCCCCTCAATTGACTCATTGACGGGCACTCATGACTATGGTGAAACCGCCTTCAGGTCATCAACACGTCTACGAAAGTAGGACCCCGCAACACATATGTTGCCAACCCGGAGGCCGTCTTCGAAACGGGACGCAAACCAGGTCTCGGACCGTCGTTTACGTTCATGACGGACGCGACGCTGTGGCTGACGCGGCGGTCGCGCGACGAGCAGGAAGGAGATGCGGACTCGACAGTGCACACCGCTGAGGTGTTCCGCTCCAGAATCACAGTACGCCTGCACCCCTTCCTCCTCTTCGAAGACAACGCTGACAGTCTTGGTAGCGTTCGAAGACCTGGGCGCCGTTCAGAATAAGGAACGGGCTCCTGGTGAGCGCATGAGCATCTTGCACCAGCCAATGTTGGACACCTCAATGTGCACCTATGTTACATCCGTCAACCGTCCATGAGATTCCGCTCGATGCAATCATAATCGTACAGTACAAGTATGTCATATATCGTCCGTGGGTAGATAATGAGCTCAATAATCACCAAACCTAATAGGCACGTGCATCAGTGTCATACAGGACCACGCAAGGCGAAGTCGGAACGTACCTGTCAGGCATGACAACCGGGGCGAGCAAGCTCCAGATGTACAGGAGCATGCAGATCCAGCTCGACACGACGCGCATCCACATCGCTACCTCCGAGCGGCCGATGTAGACGTCTGCGTCGTGGTTCGGGTTCGAGTCTGGCTTGATCACGTTCCTGGAGCGCCTGGTGAGCTGACCGCGCAGACAATCAGGAGCGGAGGCACGTACCAGTCAGTCAGGAGCATCGCAACATACATCGCGCCGATGGCGAAGATGACATGGAACCAGGCATACTGGAGTACATGATATTAGCGTATGCACCATGGGCAGCCTACGAGGAGGAGCATCACGTACGTTGTACCGGGTTCCGGAACGCTCATCGTCTCGGGCGTCTCCGGCAACCTCGTCCTCATCTTCGTCTTGTTCCTCGTCGAGTGCAGAAGCAGGAATGGCACTGAATATGAGATCGCTCAGTAAACAGCCCAGCAAGTAAGACGCGTGACGCACCCAGCCTCAACCGCAGCAAGAAGCGCCTGGTACCGCGGAGTCTCCGTCCTCCCGGGCTGCGTGTTGACTACGCCGAGCTCTGCGTGATGCTCGCCGTCAGGGAGCTGGATTGCGCCCTTCCTGTCCTTGCCGACGAGAGCCCGACTCTGCGTGGCAGCTCTGCTGGTGGAGTACGCAATCGCAAGGAAGGTGAACACGGCGCCGAGGACGAGAGTCGTGTACTGCGTGCCAGAGCCGCGGCGCAGCGGGTTGCAGGAATTGTGGTCGTGGTTGCCGACGGCGGACATGATGAGATACGTGCAGTACACGGCGACCATGCTTGACTGCGCGAGTCCGGAGCGCGGGTTGTACTCCTGCACGGTCGGGTGAACGCACATGATGGTGATGAGGACGCAGAGGGCAAGGTTGAACGAGATGAAGAAGCGGTTGAGCGTACATCCGTCTCCGGCAAAGAATGCGTACAGAACGCCTGTGAGCGCGATGGTGCCTATGTACATGCCTGCCGTGGAACCGATGAGGATCCATTGCCAGAGGTTCGAGTTGGAGTTCTCCCAGTTCTCGAGGCAGGTCTCAGACCAGGTGTGTGCGAAGTCAACGAGGAGGACGAGCCCGAGTAGGATGAAGATGGAGGCACCGATCATGGCGACGTAGTTGCCCCAGAACATGAAGAAGCCGTTCGGGATGAAGAAAGAGACGACGACAAGGACGAGCCATAGGAGAACCTTTGGACCCCACCATCCGTTCTGGATGGCGGCACGCTTGTCCTTGGTGTCTTGTACGCCGATGAGGGATGAACCGACAAGGAGGTGGAAGAGGGAGAGAGCGAAACAGATCCGGTGAACCTGATGACGAGGTCACGGCCTGGTTTTGGACCAGTATGAACTCGAACAACTCACAGCAAGAACCCCATAACACTTGTCTCCCTCGCAATCCATCTTCAGGTATCCATGGCTTAATTTCTCTATTTGTTCGATAATGAGAGGTGACTTCATGAGCCATGCGAGCATGGAGTTTAGACAGAAGATCATCTGCGGGAACAATTGTCAGCTTCGTGCACAAAAATGCTTCATTTCGTTGCTCACAGCAAAACCAACACGAGTAGCGATGGAGGAGTTGCAATTACATGACTTGCAGAACATCGAGGCTGAGGCTGGGTAAGTTTCGTCTCGAGCCGCAAAAGTGCTTGGCAACTCACCAGCTGTCGACGTGAAGCAAAATGCCAGCCCTGCAAGACATGACGATGCAACGGTTCCAAAGACACCAGCTAGGGGAAAAGAGAGTAGAATACCCATCGTGGGCGGGGATAATTGATGAGGGTTTTGAACAAGGATACATATCCCTCCCACCTCGCTGTGCTTACTCACACTTCAATGGTACTACTATATTAATGTAAGTGAAGCCATATAACGGCCTGGTGGTCTAGTAGTATGATTCCTTCTTAGGGTGTTCAGGCGGCTGTGTTTCATTTGGAGGAGGTCCCGGGTTCACTTCCCGGCCAGGCCCTTTTAATTTTAACTTTCCAGCCCTTGACTCGACCCCAAACAAATTGACCTCCCAGGCATCTCTCTCCGTCTACCATGTTTTTCCAAAACCTCCCACAAGGTAGATACTTACCTCTCCAGTTGCCGAGGCACTAGTAGGGCCGGAGTATCTGCGAAGTTATCAAGCACTGTTGTCGCTTTCGTCGGGCTGGATCAAGGGCTCTCCAGTTTCCTGGAAAACCATGCACAAACGCGACAGTGGGCTACCTCCACTCTGTAGTTGCTTCCCGCCCATTCCGAAAGTCATTTCATGACTGTCACAGCACGGCCATCTCTGGCGGCGTGATACTCATTTTTCAAGTTGTCTGGGACCAACCCTTCGAAATATGCAGCGTGCAGAACGACTGGAAGGAGGTCACTCACTAGGTAATAATATGATGGTCATGTAGGTCTCTTGGGACAGGCCAGGGAGTCCAGAGCTGGGCAGTGAATAATCCTGAGTACGACAGAAGCCGGAGGCCATACCGCGTATTTCATTATAGAGGTGACCATACGTATCAGCATAGGGAGAATGCAGGGTCCCGATGAAGACTCACTGAAACACCAACAACCGAACTGATGGGCAGTGAACTCGCAGAACAAGACATGATACCAGGAGCCTGAGCGATGAATGCAGGAAGCAGGCGAATCGTGCGCTCATCCACAACCCTGTCAAGATCAGCTTCATCGTAACTACATATCAACGGATGTGGCTTGCAGAGTGTGCGCACTAATGATGAAGAGCGAGATGTGAGCAATTCGCGAACGAGAACTACACGGGGCGCGGCGCCACATTCGCCACCATACGAGTCACTGTCTGGTCCTTGGTCCATATATAAAAGCGTTGCGTCCGACTTATCGCTGAGTCAACATGAACATCCGCCTTGTCGCCGTCATCCGAATCACCCCCTTATACCGCTACCTCTGATATCATGGAAGGCGACTGTGGTTCTGCAGCTCCCGCGCCCGCGCCATGCGATGAGCCGCTCAAATGGCCGTTACTGAGGCTCTTGTGTGGCGACATTGAAGACCTCCATCAAGTCGTCCAGAAGCGTCGAGCGACCGTGCACACTGTCCTTATGAGGCTTCCGCTTTGGGAACCTATGGACGAAGGCATACTCCGGGAGGTCGTCTCCGTTACCCAACCTGTCAAGTGTTGCGTTCGCGTCTCTGCCAAGGATTTCGATGCGTTACTCCATTATTTTGTGCGTGAGCTGCTCTCGTTGTCGGAATGAAAGTTTGCATCCGCTAACCTCTGTTCCTATCAGCGTCAGTGTCGCGGTGACGACCATAATGGATTGCATCGCCTACGCACGCTGGCAGTCATCGTTGTTCCTCCCGAAGAAGAGGTGCCACATGCAGCAGAGGAAGGACCCGGCCTTCGTGATAGCACCGCGAGTTGGGACGCTATTTTGCGTCGCGACAGCGCGCTGCTGAAGCAGAGGGTGATCGATGCCATTCGTGAGGGCGGAAGAGAAGAAGTCAAGGTACATGTAGGGTTTGGATACCATGTAGAGTCAGCCCTACGCAGTTGTCTATGAAACATACTGTTTGAGACTTCACGTGAACGCATGAGGGCATGACCCCCATGCCATCCTGTAAAGACCGAGACTGAGTACTGAGTGCTCCATGTGCCCGTGTAGCAGCCGCCTGACTTACCACCGCCGGCTTCTTACCCCATTTCCTGAGTGCGGTCTAGGTGAGCTCAGTGAGTCAGCAACGCACCTATTGAGCAGTCCACTTCCCACTCGGAGCGAGTCTCGAGCCCGAGTAACTTCGTATTCGGAATCAACACCAGACGCTGTGGCTTCGTATTCGGAATTGAGGATGCATGCGGACATCGAGCTCTCACGTTTTCTCCGAGTCGGAGAAAGGACTTGAGTACGGCTGCGGATAAGGCTGAGCGGTGGCATGAGGAGGAGTATGCACGGCATGTCTGAGTCTATGAGCGTTGAGTTGTCGACAAGCTTGAAGATACGCCGCGCCACGCTATCGCCAATCGGGGAACGCTAAGTTCGCACTTCAAAGAGAACACCGGCATGGTCGATAAGCTGCCGGCAAAGAAGCAGAAGCCGAACCAAATATATACAGGAGAAGCACTACTTACGACAATGACGACCACTACTGCATCCATCGTCTACGAACACCTGCGCCGGAACGCCGCGCTCACCACTTCCCGCGTCCCCACGGGTTGTACGCCACACCACGCATGTTCCACTTCCCCTCTCGTTCCTGGCGATTGCCCTCGCGGTCGGTCGCGCGGCTATACACGACGCCAGAGGTGGGGACATCTTCGAGGAGGGCCTCCCAGAGCGTCCAGCTCCACTTGCCTTCCTGGTACGTTATCTTCGCCTCGTGCCACGTCGCGCCATCGTCCGTGGACACCTCGACGCGAGCGACCTGGAGGGCGCCGCGCCCGATGGCGTAGCCCTTAACAAGAATTGAAGATGGGCTGCGGCGTGAGACGGACGCCACAACGGAGTTGATGGGGAGCGAGGTGAGGGAGGGGACTTTCGACCAGGCAGACGCTGCTTTCTCCTTGGTGTCAATCTGGCAACCTGCATGTGAGCGTGTGTGACAAAGCGAGGGGACGCATGTCGACGTACCTCTTCTGGTAGGACCTTGTAGTCGAGTTGTTGGTAGAAGTTGGGGGACTCGTCGGGCGATATTGAGATGGTGTCGACCCACTTGACCCATCGTGCTCCGAGGAACCCAGGCGCAACGACGCGCAGTGGGTACCCGCGGTCGGGAGACAGCGCTTGGCCGTTCATCTTGAAGCCGCCGTCAACAACGCAGCTCAGAGGTATGGCGATATGATACTCACATCGTAGGCAAGGAGAGCGTCCCCTTCGAGGTCCATGGCATCACTCAGCGGTATGGATCCTCCATACTCCTTGTCGTCCTGGCAGGGGGTCACCCGAGATGTGAAGCAGACGTGCCAGCCAGCGTACGAGGTGGCGTCAACGCCAACAGTCTGCATCAAGTCGCGAAGGCGAAGCCCCGCCCACCGGCAGTTGGCGATGACGCCGTCGTGCCATAGAACTCCGTGTACGGGTTTCTTCTCGTTCATCTCCTTGCGTCTATTTCCAGCGCACTGCGTGCCAAAAGCATGAACTTCAAGTTCGAAGGGGCGTTGTTAATGTACATACCTGGAGCGCCGCAACAACCTCTACGCGAGGGAAAGACTCCCGGAGTTCCGTCATGGTAAACGAGCGTAGCCCCTGTAGGCCGTGCACCTCGATAGCGTAGGTCGACTCGTCTAGGTCAAGGACAGGACCGTGGTTCCGACAGTATACCAGGTCATCCGGGGTGATAGGGAACTGGACGAGAGCAGCGGCGGTAGGCTCGGCGTTGAAGGGTTCGGAGCAACGCACGACGAGGTGATCGGAGTGGGGCACCTCGTCGGAATAGTCCATCTCTGTGAGAACTTGTACCATGGTGGTGTGCTGAGAGACAGGCGAGTCGTAAGAAGTCAAGATGTTAGATGTAGAGTTATAAGTTGCCGGAAAGTGCTTCGAGAGACAGCGTGGACGTCAAACATGGCAGGCCAGAGCCTCGCGTGTTCCACGTTACATAACTAGTGGCTATGGGTGGCACCAGGTGATCCATTCGACGCCCTATGTTATCTTGAATCTTCTTTTCTCTCGTGCTCAGCCAGGACCAAGATCGAGTGTCGGCGAAGCGGGAAGGAGGAGCAGGAGAAGGTCGGGATAGATAGCATGCGGCCCGAAGAGCTGCAGATATACATCCATCTGCTCATTCCGTCTCAAAGGTGCCAAGAGAGTAAAAAAAATGCCGGCCAATCTTCAAGAGAAGCACAAGAAAAGCCATGTTTCCAGACGAGATAGAGTCAGGATGAGGAAAGAGTTCAAGAAGTTGAGCATGGTCATCGCAGGGGGGAAAGTGATGAGGAAAAGGGACTTATCTGAACTTATGACAGCTTATCCATCCCTTTTGTGATGTTGTTGGCCAAAATACGAGATGACATAAGTAATTTAGCCCTAGAGATAACTTAAATATGGAGGAGACAGCCTTCAAAGGTGCGAGATAAGCCTTTGGATAAGCCTTCAGGTGTCCCGGGATAGTCAATAGAGGCATGTAGGAGACTAAGTAATCCGGAGGGATTATGAAAGTTACGACATTTATCCCGCCTCCGTGTCTCTGCCGACGAGATGCGGAAGCGCATCGGCAGGAGTACCTTACTCTCATGGTTTCGAGCAACGAGCTCGCCTTCATTCACCTTTAACCCACCACCACATCAGTCTAACTTGCACCCCCCTCCACCACCGTTTCATAAAGTCTTGCAAGAGGCAACTACGATGATTGGAAGAGCCGCGCACTATATCTTTGATGCTGCTCTGGTGAGCACGCTGTTGGCGGGCGTGAGGCGGTCGAGTGGATTCACGTACGTATATGCTGCGTTTTCAGATGGATGCCCACTGACTTTGCATACAGCGTAGAGACGAACAAGATCTCCGATGATACATTGCGCTCCGCCACGGAGAAGTACCTCGGGTTCGGGGAAACTGTCTTCGACATGATCCAAGGGACCGTAGTCAACAGTCCGTACTTCAAGCGAGATTCGAGCAGCTGAGCTCACACTGGGATATAGAGACGTTGCCAGCTGGGATTGGGCTTTATGTATTGGAGTATGTATCCGGGTCTGATCTGCGCACCTCTCACCGCATGCTGGTATGCAATCGTGGCCGTTGATGTCACAGTTCAGGTGAGTCTTTTCTCCTGTCGACGCAAGAGTTATGCGAGGACATCTAAGGCTCTGCGGAGAACCACTTTATCCCGCAATACTTCCAATACACGGATTCGACCGGAATACTACTCCTGTTACGTCGATCCACTGAGGTGTGGTGGAACGCGTACTATCAGTCATGCGCGCGTCGTGTCCTTATGCGTGAGGTCTGTCCGACGCGTGCGGGTTCTCTCATTGATTATCAGCGTCACCGTCTCCTGTCCGCGATACGACAG